TGACCACCCGGACGTGACATTCGGCCTACCTTTCTTCCCAAACAGGCGTTACAAGGATTTAGTTTTCAGTTAGGTTACACTAAGTCAGATCTTTCGTTTCTCTCATAACACTGTTCGGGAAGAAAAACAACTGCAGTCTCATAAAGGTAATAATGTTGACCTTAGATAATAAATGAACTCGCTTTCTCACTGTCTTTGTGTTTTAGGAACATTTGGGAGGGAGAAGAATCTCCCTCGCCAATACAACATCACTGCACACGAAGATATACACCGTTTAACCTTTACTTGAATTCTCGCCCTCATGCACTTACATGTCAAACGCCTCATTCTCTGTAATTCAACAAAATGAAACAATCCAAACAAACACTGGCTTCCCACAAATCCAATCCCTGGGTCAATAGCTAGAGGAGTGCGGTAGGTGTGGTCCGCACCGGGCCCCTGGAAAGCAATAGGCCCATAGAGAAAGCACCACACAATAGGCCCAAAATCACAGGAAAAGAAAGAACCGAAAAATTTTTCATGGCAATCATTTGGCTGCTTGAGTTGCTGGGGTCCCTATTACACAGGAAAATATCAACTCAACTCTAAGTTATACACTATATAAACCACTACACAAAAATATTTTAGTCCATTTACAAGGGCCCACAAATCTGATTCCACACCAGGCCTGGAGAACCCTGGCTACGCCACTGTCCCGGGTTCAGGAAGTGAAAACGCATTCACGATACTTGCAATATGGCAGCTGGTGATATTTTAGTTTTGTTTTATTTATCAAGGGCATTAAGAGAGAGCTATTTTTAACCTTACTCATCCTTGTTTTCTCATGATCCTCAATGTGGGCTGCCCGACTGTATGAGACAGGACTTGAAACATCGGGTACAGATCGCCCTGGGTTCTTGAACAACCCGAATTCAATCTCAGAGCGGTAGACTGAAGTCTCAAACATCTGGCTATCACCTTGTTATACTAGGTCTTGACAGTATAACAAGTAGCAACACTTTCATATAAACAGTTTGTTATTGTACAGAACATTAGACACTTCACATAAATTGTTTTTAGTTGGTCTGCAATGTACCATATCTCTCACATAAATTCAGATATGTCGGGCCCCGTTCCTTGCAACCAGTCGTCCCATTGTGGGCCTGGCCGAAACCATAATGGGCTTGCTAATGAAGGCTCTCTTAGTGCCCACAGGGAAGAAAGAGTTTAAAAAAATAAACTACAGTTCTACCTATTCTTCTAAAAAGTAATTTGAGAACTGACAATTGTAATAATTTTATTTATGGTAAAGTTTTGGTATATAAACACAGATAATTTCAAAATTTATCAACATTAATTGTTTACAGTTTAAGAAATATAAATGTATACAATGTTGTACAAAAAAGGAAAACTTATTTTATTAAATATTGTTAACAGGAAAAGTATGATGTACAGTGGCAAGACTAAGAGCATTGTAACTATATCACAATAAATAACTGCTTGTTAACTTTCAAATTTCCTACTTATAGGAAGCCAATAGTGTTTGTGGATGCGAAATGTTGCACAAAATGCATTATTTTTTTATATTTTAACATAAACATGAAGGAAAACACACAACAGGAAAAAAAAACAAAAACAAATGCTTACAAATCAGTTTCAGTAAAGAGATTTGATTAAATCTTTTGATTTTAAAATTTGATACTGATTATAATTTCAACATAAACCATAATAATATATTTTTAATACTGATTAACATACTGTTAAATATGAAAAGTTCCAAATTTTAAATTAACTCTAGGATCAGTGAAACAATACATGCCTTGAGAAGCAGTAATGTTGTCTGCCACACACATAATCAAAGGAGTTCCTCCAAAAACGTGAGAATGATTCGCTATTAATTTTGATCAAGTTAATTTCATTAATGTTTTTTTAAATGTGGTAATAATATTTCATGTAGTACTGTACATTATAGGTCTGTATTTTAATAATATTGGATATTCTACTAGAGCAAATTATTAAAAGTTAGAAAGGTTGGAAACATTATTTTAGATTCATCTTTTGGGGTTTATTACTTCTAAAAGAATAAACATTAATGTTGTAAAAAACACTTTAGATAACATAGAATGTTTAACTTTAAATCAAAGTCTATAGTTACTTTGTGATATTAAAAGTTTCCCCCACATTTACTGTTTAGCAAATTCATAAATTCAACTATGGCGTGCACATAAAATAAGTTTGTTTATGTTTGATTTATAATAAGTCATCAATTCTTCTGTCCCGAAAGGAAAAACTTATTGAGTTGTGTGGTGTTATTCCTATACTATAAAAGATGTTGACATTGTTTAGGAAAATACCACCTTAGAAGATCAAGTTGTGTTTAATTGCACAAAGATTTCTTGGACCAAACTGTACCATTAATCTTAAAAATATAAAGGAAGGGTAGAAATTCAGGTTTTCATGTTTCTGTATGTGGTAAGTGCTATCCATACAATATGGACAGAGCTGAAATCTGTAAGTTTTACATTTTTCCTCTGAGATGATTCCTTTTTTCTTTTTCCTATAATCAGCTGATAAACTGAGTTCTTTCATCATGTACTGAAAGTTATAACTAAGTGGCCAAACCTTTCTAATAATTGTACATTTATGATTTAATACATTATACATAGTATAAATTAAGTATTAAAAAATATACAGTATAATAAAATTGAATTCAATTTTTAAATTTATTTTATTTTATTTTCAGAGAAGATGTGTTTAATTGTTTAGAAAAGTATGTAGTTTTAGAAAAATATTCCATACCTAACAAATTAAGAAAGATTGTTATCAATAATATAAAGAAGTGGAATTCGATTACGGAAGGAGAGGCAGTTTTGGTGGATTGTATTAGGTAACTTTTTTCACTTAATGTAAACAATTTAATATTTCTAAAACCAATAGTAAAAATAGTAAATTCCAGAGTTTATATATTTTAATGCAATCTAGCAATAGATAGGGCAGTTTTTCAGTTATTCACTTTCAGAATATTCAGAACAAGTTTTAGTTGTGCAAAATGATCAATTTATGAAAAAATCATAGGAAAATTTCATACTGGAATTAGTGTTATTAATTTAGCATTTAATTATTTTAGTTATAAAAATGTATAATGAGATTAAGAGAAAAGCACTTAATAACACTCTCAATCAGTGTTTTTCAATTGCTGGTCCGTGAAAAAATTTCACTGGTCTGCGGAAAAATATCTTATCTTACTGACACTGGCGCAGTTGACTACGAGTGACATTTAAATAGTAATCTACACTTATTGTATATACTTTGTTTCAAAAGTGGCTCTAGATAAGTTTATATAAGTGTAATAAATAAGCATAATTCATAGTCACATGTAATTTACTGGTTCAGGTAAAATTATCCATGATTTTACCAGTCTGTGATGAGAAAGAGGTTGAAAACACTGCTCTTGACAACAATTAAGACTCTTAAGTTACAATCAGATGAATGAAAGATAGTATATATCATTTGCAGCTGACCAGCACAGTCAGCTAATACACTTTTTTATACATATTAAATTCAAGTTTCTACTTAATTAACTAATGCATAAATCAATTTTCATAACATGAATAATCTCCATATTGCCTATCTTAACATTTCATCAGCAAATATAGAACTGATTTGTATTTATTTATAATAATATAAATTTTATCTGATTTTATTTAATATGATAAATCATTCATTTTCAAACAATATTCTTATTACACTGGTGATAACATATTAAAAATATATATATTTAACACTTATCAGATCAATGCATTAATGTTTTATTTATCAAACAGTATCAATTCTTTGCAAATAATATAATGAAAAACCAAAATATGAATGTTTTGAATAAATTTGTACATTCCTACTGACATATACAGACTTTTAAGCCTGAGAAAAGTCTCGAAAACAAGGAATTGATTTATAAGGTGACTACAAATTTCAAGTTTTTACAACAGACAAGTAAATAAGTGAAATAACACTCCTAACAATTGTTATGTGCTATTTACTATAACGTTAGCAGGCTGTCCATATATTTTCAGCTAAAACTTGTGTTTGGCAAATTTATTTGTAATAAAAAATTTTAGTATAAATGAACATTATATTTCTTGATGTTTTCCATAGCTGATAAGCTAACTGTACACTACTGATACAAATGAAAGAGCATAGCTAAAGACATACTATGGTGTTCTACTAATTCGTTACTTGTACTGTTGTACAGTACATTATGGTACTGTCATAGTACTATGCTGTGTAAAGTTTTTAATGGACTAGATTGTTTACTGGTACAAGGTCTTCTTAGCCATACTGGGCCAAGCATTTATAACAATCCAAATAATAGTCTATAAGATAAAATATAAGAAAGTATACCAGTATTTATTAGAGATGTTATTGATTTTGGAATGTCTGTTATACTGGTATATCAGATAAACTGATAAAGTTCTTAGCAAGCTATCAAACTTCTTAGTGGTTGCTTGGTGTATTAAGAGCCTGTTGCCCAATCTCTCAATAAATGATATAGTTTATATAATAAGAGGTTGTAATAGTTAATAATGCCACACCAGTTTTTTGACACTGTACTTTTATCATACACCATAATCATATTTCTATTCTAACCTACATAACCTTGGTAACTTGCTATAAGTTTGAGGGTTAAATTATATGGCAGGTATGTATTAATCTGTGACCGTAGGGTCGGTGTCTCGTTGACATCACGTCAGGAGACCTAAATCTGACACCACTGAGTCTCTGGGGGACTCGGCAATTGCGACGTTACGTCACGCGAGCGGTAGCAAGTGAGCGATTGGATTCGGAGTAGAGGTGAGGAGAGAGACGAGGAAGTAACTTAATCGGATTCCATGGTTGCTAACAATTAACAATTTTAATGAAACTAAAGGAAATACAAAGAGAGTCAATTTCGGTCATAGTTCCCCTATTCAAGAGAGGCCCGTCGAGAGAGAGAGTTTAAAAACAAATTGCGGGTTGATAAATACCTTGTCGATGGACTGTTCTTTCCACTAGTTCTGAATCCTCTCCGTTCACTGGTGTGGAGGCATGGAGAAGTGTAGAGGCTCAATCAGGCACAAATTTTTCTCTTCGGTTTAAACCTGGGTCACGATTTGAATCCTGGGTCACAGTTTTAATCCTGGAGGACGACTTTGTTGGGCAGACTTTTTGAAGACGACTCTCTCTTCTTGAGGGGTTTTTCTTGTAATTCCTCTTGGGTTTTTCCATTAGGTCAGATGGTTGTTGTTAAGGGTCTGGCGTCCAATATGGATTCTCCATCGAAAGTTCCTGGTGACACATCCCTGACTAACTGGATCCGACTCAACAAGGAACAAACTCAGTGGGAAATAATTTTTATGGCNACGTATTCTGTTGTCTTATGCTGTTAAACCCACAATCCTTTCTTGGTTTATATATAAAACGTTTATTTTTCGAGTACTTTCTTTGAAATACCCTTTGAATCAACGGACCCATTGGTGGCTGCGTGGATGAAACCAATAAACACTAGTAGTTAGTTGGTCGTGGGTTCGTTCCTCATCGACGTCCTGAGCACGAGTTGTCTAGGTTTTTCTCGTCTCGAATACTTGAATAGGAGTCAATTTTCCATAAAATTTTTCTAGGGAAGCACTCTTCCTGTTTGTTGCATTTCCTTCTCCCTTTAATTCTATATGAATAATTTTGTAAATGGATACTGTGCTGTAGGAATATATATAAAGTACAACTTCGAATTGATTCGTTCTGAAGGTGGTTCGGATAATCGAAAATTCAGATAAGTGGATTAACGTATAAAGAATGAAATTACACGGTAATAGCACAGTATTGTGATCAATGTGTGAGTAATTTATTTGAATCTGTCACAGCATATAGACATTATGTTATTTATTTATAAATGAAATTTAAAATAGAATATACGAGAACATTATTTGAAAGTCAAGAATAACTTTTATAGTATGTAACGTATCATTGAATAAATAGGATTGAATAGAAAAATGAGCTATTCCAAACCATCTTAATGAACAATGTTTTCAATTCTTTTTACGGCTTTCTACAAATACTGGACTTTAATTAATTAATAAAGCTGGATGAACAAGGCAAAGGCTTGCTTATTTCATTTGAAACACGCGATGCTTCCTTATTTGATCGATACTACAAGTGAAGAAGTTACAAAACTGTAGAGAAATAGTTAAACCATTTATGAATAAATGCTACAGAAAATGGCTAATACATGCGTTTATTGCATACTTTATCCCACATTAAATCTCTCTGCTCTATTCGGTGATATATTTTACGAACGATGCGAATTCCACAGACTGAATGGTTTACACAAACGAGCCATGTCATACTACGCTTGGTGTTTACAAATGGTATTTGTCACTCATTTTCTGTTGTTAATTCTCCAATGTTTTGCGACTAATGATAATGTAATCGCTTGTAGTCCGGCTAAGAAATTAGGGAGTAACAACGTAAACGAACCGTTTCAGAAAAGCATGCTTTTACTTGTGGTTTTAGGTATCATAAATATCATGAATTCTGGAAGGAAAACAAAGTTAAATTTTGATCTGCAAACTTCGGGATACGATGGAGAAAATCGAAAAATGGAGAAATATCAGTTCACTTCGAGTATGTTTTTTGGAAAAATTCTACTTAGTTTACTTATATTTATAAGTATTTTGGTGGCCTACGTGTATAGACAGATAAGAGAGGATTCCGATGATTTTCGGGCATTCGTCTGTTCGTTTCTATCCTCTATGTTTACAGTTACGAAGCAATATTGTTTACGTGGATTATTAACGCGGTTGTAATGATCTGTTTAATGCTTCTAGAAAGATTTACGGCATTGTCTGAACAGTTACAATTAGCTACGCACAATCCAATGCTCAAGATAAATGAGATCATTTTAAAGCATACCGAACTGTACAATTTAATTAAACAAATAAACGATAAATGGGCAGATAATATACTTTTTATTTATGGTATATCTGCTTATCTTCTCGCATTTATTTTCTATAACGCAATATTTTTTAATACAGTTCCAGAAATGCGCATATTGTTTTTATGTTCCTCCATATTTGCACTTTTGGTGACTTTAATTTTTACATTTTCCATTTCTCGTTTATTCTTACCGGTAAGTTATTTGCCGTTTCTTTTTTAAAAATACGAATCTGCTTATTGTAATCGATGGTTTGAAATTATCCCGAAACATATACAGTAGACCCCCTACAACACTGTACATAATTCCGTGTTGTACGAATCACTTAGATTTTACCGTATTTGTAAAATCTAAGTAACTCGTACAACACAGAATTCATATAACACGGAATAATCTACAGTGTTATAGGAGTCTACTGTACCTAAGTTAAAACACACCTATGAAACTTTAATTATTTTAATACTACTTCTGCCCTCGCTTAACGATATCTGTACAGTTGAATGTAGCGATTACAAACAGATTCTATTGTATATTTTTTTTAATTAGAAGTTGTGTTTAAAGACATTTTCTAATTTACTACCACAACAACAGGCTTACGACTCTTTTCAAGAAATTAGAAAATATACTTCGGCATCTTTTCGAATAGAAGATAAAATCAAGGTACAGTATGTTTTATTTCATTTGAATTATTGAAATCAAATTAAGAAATTACAAGTTTTATATATATATTTTTTAAAAACAGATATTGAATTTCATGAAAAAGATTCCGTGAAAATGAAATTGGATTCAGTTGTGGGGGGATATTTTGTTATTTCAGTTAAATTTCCTATGCAGGTAACAATAGCATACATAAATGGGGTCACGATTTCGCACCCCACCCACCTCTTGGTAGATCGTCTACGTGTTCTATTGCCTTATCCCATCAATTCTACAATCGTTAATCATAAAGATAACAGTATTTTATTTAAAAAAAAAAAAAAACTAGTAGTTTTATTACTTTCAAAATAAAATTTAATTTAGAATTATTTATTTGTAAATTGTTTATACATTAAAATATGTTTTTATTTTGCAGATTTTACACTCTCTCTACACTATATTTAATATATTGCTAGAGATTCAAGATATCACTGAAGGAATTGATAATTCTTGTTCATTTTCACTCATGAAACATTATTTCATTTATCATAATGGAACCATAAGAAGCTAATTGCTTAGTAGTCTATTGTTATAGAAAAAAAGACAGTATCGGAATGTCACTGTTGTCTCAGAACAATGGTCGTCAAACTTTACTATATTGCAAATATTCCTTAAAAAGTTTATGGTATCTTCATGCCTAAGTATTCCTTTTATAAAACTGATTACATACAATAATTACTATATTATCAAGTGGGACCACCAAGCTTAATGTAATGTACTTAGTGTGATGGACAATGGAGTGTATATGAAGAGGGCTTAGTCCCTTGGCAACACGAGATAGTTAATAGATGCCATGACAGAATTAGAAATTAATTTTTAATAAGAGATTTATATATGTAAAAAGGAGACTGTAAATTGTTTTTCAATAAAGTAATTTTCTGAATTTTTACTTTTAGCTGTATACTGAATTTTAAGTTTGGACCCGAAGTAATTGATACTTTCCTTTATAAATTATACACTTTTCATATTTTACAAAATGACATACCAGAAACTGTTATAGAAAACCAGAAAATATTCGACACTGAACAGAAATGTTTAGTAACTAATAATTATTTAAAACAAATTTACAATATTAACCCAACAATAGAACGGTGTTTATGACATGATTTTTATTGTTGAGTAAAACGTAAATTGTCGAAAGGATCTGTTGGAGCTCTTGAAGAATCTCTTTGAAAATGATTGAAATTCGGGAATTTCTATTTGATCACACATCCGCATGTTATCGTGCATTCAGATGTGTCATCGAGATAATTATCGGTAGTATAATTTACTACCTGTTAGCAAAAGTCGGCTTCTTGGAGGAATTTCAGACAAGAAGTGGAGAAGAATCGGATGAACGATCACAATCCGAAGTTCAGATGAGGCATGTTTCCTCCTCAGTCGAAGGTTCCGAAATCTCTTCTGCAGAATCTCCATTAAATATCTTAATTAATGGAGATGGAAGAAAGATTGATAAGAGTGGAAGAGTTTATAAACTTGATGAACGAAATGAATATTACCGAGCGAGTTCTTCCAGAAAATAAATCCTCTAGAGAAGGATCCATATCATGCGCCGTATAATCCACAGAAAAATGAGTAAAGACAATGAATGTTCACATTGACGATGAAAAAACGGTTGTAAAAAGATCAGAAAATGGCGTGAGATCAGCTGTAGATGTGAATAAACAATCGAAAGATTCGATTCCTGGAAGAAACAGCAAAGCCATCCATTGAAATCATAGAAATCAGAATATCCATAAATGTAAAAGAAAATGAAAACAAAATCGATTTAAAAGCATCAATCGAGGAATTAACAGATGAAGATAAACATCAGATAGAAACTTTAGTTAAATCGAAGAAAAAGCCTCCCGAAATAGCGAGCGATACTGTTAAAAGGGCTCCAGAAATAAATGCAAATACAGTCGACCCCCCTATAAGATCATTGATTATTCCGTTTTATATGAATTCCATGTTGTACGAGTCACTTAGATTTTACAAATACATGTACCGGGCTGTGAACGGCTCACGTATTTGTAAAATTTAAGTGACTCGTACATGGAATTCATATAAAACGGAATAATCAATGATCTTATANCCTCTTTACTACATGAAAATGAAAATTAATGAATACACTGTGTACAGTAATTTACCTGATAAGACAGACCTCAGAAAAATACATTGAGAGCTTTTATACTTTTATAAAGCTGTCTATAATGAAAATTAATTAACTAAGGATTTTTTCGCCCTGCCAAGGTGTGGACCAGTTATCCGGAGTGCTAAGTTATCGAGGGACGAGTTTTCGAGGTTCTACTGTATTAAAAATGAATTTTAAACCCCAATTTAAAGAATCGTAATCTAACAAAAAATGGGGCTCCATTGGACTTCCGATGGAGCCCCATTTTTTGTTACCCTAGGCCCCGAAAAACCTAGATCCGTCCTTGCGTACGTTGTCGCTAGACGTTATTTTATTCACACCAAATAACATTTCTGCCTATTGTTTAGTGTTACAGATAGGTCCAGTAATCCTATTATAACTTTCAGTTTGCTCAAAAATTTTGGCCAGGATTCGCCCCTGATCAAATAGCTGTCCCTCCAATGTGTTTATGCGAAGAGGAAATGAATAGAAGAGAAAGATGAGGAAATGATTGAAGCACCCTTAAGAAATATGATTCAAAATTCCAAACAGCTTCGAGAGATCAAGTCCAAGAAACGAAGCAAGAAGAGGAGGAGGAGGAAATCTTTATTGTACCCCATGTATTTAGGAGATCCTCTGAGTAATTCTTTCATACAAGCCAAAAAAGCATAAATACTTTTTCAATATTCCAATCGTGTTTTATAATTTACATAAAATTATCTTTTTATTTTAAAAATTCTTTAAAAACAATGAACCTAATTATATCTTCCATTATTCCAGTATTCTTTTTAAACCATAAAATTAATTACTTCCTGTGACGTATGTTATTTGTGTTGTTTTATAAACTTCTGTTAGTTTATTTGACATTTGTCACTCTATATTATCTTTTTTAGCGCTTCCTTAATTTTTGTTTGTGCTTTTAATTGCACATTAGTGAAAATCACATAGAAAACAGTCTTGATACATTACAAAAGAATAACAGAAGACATAACTGCATACTGTAGTATATGCTTTTGATGCTGGGTCTTAAGTATCAAAAGCATTTATCGAGTACGATATTGGGTATCAGTACTTAAAATGTAATCACTTATTATGTAATTTTTATTGCTAGATAAATATGCGTAAAACTATTTATTGTGACTTAGTCACAATGCCGGGCTGCAATTTTTAATCATTTAATTTAAAACATATGCTCTCCACCTCAAATTAGTAGTGGCTTGCCCCCGTACATCATACTTTTTCCTTCAACAATAGAATCGTGCCGATCATCTATTAACTGCTTTCGGGGGAAAAGATTTGAATTGAAAAAACGTGACTTCAGGTTTACATCGGAAGTTGGTGTATAGTTAATTGGCGCCTGCCGTCCATAAGGTTTCCATATCTGGTCTCGAATTTCATCTATTGCCGTTCTCGAGATTAAGACAGACGGACGGACGGACGACACTGAAAATTTAGGGGAGAGATTTATTTATCAAAAAGCCAGAAATTCAAAGGGAAAGAATGGTCGCTTCTGCTTGGCTTAATCTCTTTATCCACTGTGTCGGTTTCCCCATTGTCTCGAACTTAATTTCCGAACGAGTCTTTCGGACTCTTACCGCGCTCGAACAGAGTTCGAGCACCAGTGGCTCGACCGTGTCTCTTGCCAATGGATTAGTTTGGTGTTCAGGGAACGAAGACCACTGGTGGACCGACAACGGATTTGATTCCCGATTGTGACCACCCGGACGTGACATTCGGCCTACCTTTCTTCCCAAACAGGCGTTACAAGGATTTAGTTTTCAGTTAGGTTACACTAAGTCAGATCTTTCGTTTCTCTCATAACACTGTTCGGGAAGAAAAACAACTGCAGTCTCATAAAGGTAATAATGTTGACCTTAGATAATAAATGAACTCGCTTTCTCACTGTCTTTGTGTTTTAGGAACATTTGGGAGGGAGAAGAATCTCCCTCGCCAATACAACATCACTGCACACGAAGATATACACCGTTTAACCTTTACTTGAATTCTCGCCCTCATGCACTTACATGTCAAACGCCTCATTCTCTGTAATTCAACAAAATGAAACAATCCAAACAAACACTGGCTTCCCACAAATCCAATCCCTGGGTCAATAGCTAGAGGAGTGCGGTAGGTGTGGTCCGCACCGGGCCCCTGGAAAGCAATAGGCCCATAGAGAAAGCACCACACAATAGGCCCAAAATCACAGGAAAAGAAAGAACCGAAAAATTTTTCATGGCAATCATTTGGCTGCTTGAGTTGCTGGGGTCCCTATTACACAGGAAAATATCAACTCAACTCTAAGTTATACACTATATAAACCACTACACAAAAATATTTTAGTCCATTTACAAGGGCCCACAAATCTGATTCCACACCAGGCCTGGAGAACCCTGGCTACGCCACTGTCCCGGGTTCAGGAAGTGAAAACGCATTCACGATACTTGCAATATGGCAGCTGGTGATATTTTAGTTTTGTTTTATTTATCAAGGGCATTAAGAGAGAGCTATTTTTAACCTTACTCATCCTTGTTTTCTCATGATCCTCAATGTGGGCTGCCCGACTGTATGAGACAGGACTTGAAACATCGGGTACAGATCGCCCTGGGTTCTTGAACAACCCGAATTCAATCTCAGAGCGGTAGACTGAAGTCTCAAACATCTGGCTATCACCTTGTTATACTAGGTCTTGACAGTATAACAAGTAGCAACACTTTCATATAAACAGTTTGTTATTGTACAGAACATTAGACACTTCACATAAATTGTTTTTAGTTGGTCTGCAATGTACCATATCTCTCACATAAATTCAGATATGTCGGGCCCCGTTCCTTGCAACCAGTCGTCCCATTGTGGGCCTGGCCGAAACCATAATGGGCTTGCTAATGAAGGCTCTCTTAGTGCCCACAGGGAAGAAAGAGTTTAAAAAAATAAACTACAGTTCTACCTATTCTTCTAAAAAGTAATTTGAGAACTGACAATTGTAATAATTTTATTTATGGTAAAGTTTTGGTATATAAACACAGATAATTTCAAAATTTATCAACATTAATTGTTTACAGTTTAAGAAATATAAATGTATACAATGTTGTACAAAAAAGGAAAACTTATTTTATTAAATATTGTTAACAGGAAAAGTATGATGTACAGTGGCAAGACTAAGAGCATTGTAACTATATCACAATAAATAACTGCTTGTTAACTTTCAAATTTCCTACTTATAGGAAGCCAATAGTGTTTGTGGATGCGAAATGTTGCACAAAATGCATTATTTTTTTATATTTTAACATAAACATGAAGGAAAACACACAACAGGAAAAAAAAACAAAAACAAATGCTTACAAATCAGTTTCAGTAAAGAGATTTGATTAAATCTTTTGATTTTAAAATTTGATACTGATTATAATTTCAACATAAACCATAATAATATATTTTTAATACTGATTAACATACTGTTAAATATGAAAAGTTCCAAATTTTAAATTAACTCTAGGATCAGTGAAACAATACATGCCTTGAGAAGCAGTAATGTTGTCTGCCACACACATAATCAAAGGAGTTCCTCCAAAAACGTGAGAATGATTCGCTATTAATTTTGATCAAGTTAATTTCATTAATGTTTTTTTAAATGTGGTAATAATATTTCATGTAGTACTGTACATTATAGGTCTGTATTTTAATAATATTGGATATTCTACTAGAGCAAATTATTAAAAGTTAGAAAGGTTGGAAACATTATTTTAGATTCATCTTTTGGGGTTTATTACTTCTAAAAGAATAAACATTAATGTTGTAAAAAACACTTTAGATAACATAGAATGTTTAACTTTAAATCAAAGTCTATAGTTACTTTGTGATATTAAAAGTTTCCCCCACATTTACTGTTTAGCAAATTCATAAATTCAACTATGGCGTGCACATAAAATAAGTTTGTTTATGTTTGATTTATAATAAGTCATCAATTCTTCTGTCCCGAAAGGAAAAACTTATTGAGTTGTGTGGTGTTATTCCTATACTATAAAAGATGTTGACATTGTTTAGGAAAATACCACCTTAGAAGATCAAGTTGTGTTTAATTGCACAAAGATTTCTTGGACCAAACTGTACCATTAATCTTAAAAATATAAAGGAAGGGTAGAAATTCAGGTTTTCATGTTTCTGTATGTGGTAAGTGCTATCCATACAATATGGACAGAGCTGAAATCTGTAAGTTTTACATTTTTCCTCTGAGATGATTCCTTTTTTCTTTTTCCTATAATCAGCTGATAAACTGAGTTCTTTCATCATGTACTGAAAGTTATAACTAAGTGGCCAAACCTTTCTAATAATTGTACATTTATGATTTAATACATTATACATAGTATAAATTAAGTATTAAAAAATATACAGTATAATAAAATTGAATTCAATTTTTAAATTTATTTTATTTTATTTTCAGAGAAGATGTGTTTAATTGTTTAGAAAAGTATGTAGTTTTAGAAAAATATTCCATACCTAACAAATTAAGAAAGATTGTTATCAATAATATAAAGAAGTGGAATTCGATTACGGAAGGAGAGGCAGTTTTGGTGGATTGTATTAGGTAACTTTTTTCACTTAATGTAAACAATTTAATATTTCTAAAACCAATAGTAAAAATAGTAAATTCCAGAGTTTATATATTTTAATGCAATCTAGCAATAGATAGGGCAGTTTTTCAGTTATTCACTTTCAGAATATTCAGAACAAGTTTTAGTTGTGCAAAATGATCAATTTATGAAAAAATCATAGGAAAATTTCATACTGGAATTAGTGTTATTAATTTAGCATTTAATTATTTTAGTTATAAAAATGTATAATGAGATTAAGAGAAAAGCACTTAATAACACTCTCAATCAGTGTTTTTCAATTGCTGGTCCGTGAAAAAATTTCACTGGTCTGCGGAAAAATATCTTATCTTACTGACACTGGCGCAGTTGACTACGAGTGACATTTAAATAGTAATCTACACTTATTGTATATACTTTGTTTCAAAAGTGGCTCTAGATAAGTTTATATAAGTGTAATAAATAAGCATAATTCATAGTCACATGTAATTTACTGGTTCAGGTAAAATTATCCATGATTTTACCAGTCTGTGATGAGAAAGAGGTTGAAAACACTGCTCTTGACAACAATTAAGACTCTTAAGTTACAATCAGATGAATGAAAGATAGTATATATCATTTGCAGCTGACCAGCACAGTCAGCTAATACACTTTTTTATACATATTAAATTCAAGTTTCTACTTAATTAACTAATGCATAAATCAATTTTCATAACATGAATAATCTCCATATTGCCTATCTTAACATTTCATCAGCAAATATAGAACTGATTTGTATTTATTTATAATAATATAAATTTTATCTGATTTTATTTAATATGATAAATCATTCATTTTCAAACAATATTCTTATTACACTGGTGATAACATATTAAAAATATATATATTTAACACTTATCAGATCAATGCATTAATGTTTTATTTATCAAACAGTATCAATTCTTTGCAAATAATATAATGAAAAACCAAAATATGAATGTTTTGAATAAATTTGTACATTCCTACTGACATATACAGACTTTTAAGCCTGAGAAAAGTCTCGAAAACAAGGAATTGATTTATAAGGTGACTACAAATTTCAAGTTTTTACAACAGACAAGTAAATAAGTGAAATAACACTCCTAACAATTGTTATGTGCTATTTACTATAACGTTAGCAGGCTGTCCATATATTTTCAGCTAAAACTTGTGTTTGGCAAATTTATTTGTAATAAAAAATTTTAGTATAAATGAACATTATATTTCTTGATGTTTTCCATAGCTGATAAGCTAACTGTACACTACTGATACAAATGAAAGAGCATAGCTAAAGACATACTATGGTGTTCTACTAATTCGTTACTTGTACTGTTGTACAGTACATTATGGTACTGTCATAGTACTATGCTGTGTAAAGTTTTTAATGGACTAGATTGTTTACTGGTACAAGGTCTTCTTAGCCATACTGGGCCAAGCATTTATAACAATCCAAATAATAGTCTATAAGATAAAATATAAGAAAGTATACCAGTATTTATTAGAGATGTTATTGATTTTGGAATGTCTGTTATACTGGTATATCAGATAAACTGATAAAGTTCTTAGCAAGCTATCAAACTTCTTAGTGGTTGCTTGGTGTATTAAGAGCCTGTTGCCCAATCTCTCAATAAATGATATAGTTTATATAATAAGAGGTTGTAATAGTTAATAATGCCACACCAGTTTTTTGACACTGTACTTTTATCATACACCATAATCATATTTCTATTCTAACCTACATAACCTTGGTAACTTGCTATAAGTTTGAGGGTTAAATTATATGGCAGGTATGTATTAATCTGTGACCGTAGGGTCGGTGTCTCGTTGACATCACGTCAGGAGACCTAAATCTGACACCACTGAGTCTCTGGGGGACTCGGCAATTGCGACGTTACGTCACGCGAGCGGTAGCAAGTGAGCGATTGGATTCGGAGTAGAGGTGAGGAGAGAGACGAGGAAGTAACTTAATCGGATTCCATGGTTGCTAACAATTAACAATTTTAATGAAACTAAAGGAAATACAAAGAGAGTCAATTTCGGTCATAGTTCCCCTATTCAAGAGAGGCCCGTCGAGAGAGAGAGTTTAAAAACGAATTGCGGGTTGATAAATACCTTGTCGATGGACTGTTCTTTCCACTAGTTCTGAATCCTCTCCGTTCACTGGTGTGGAGGCATGGAGAAGTGTAGAGGCTCAATCAGGCACAAATTTTTCTCTTCGGTTTAAACCTGGGTCACGATTTGAATCCTGGGTCACAGTTTTAATCCTGGAGGACGACTTTGTTGGGCAGACTTTTTGAAGACGACTCTCTCTTCTTGAGGGGTTTTTCTTGTAATTCCTCTTGGGTTTTTCCATTAGGTCAGATGGTTGTTGTTAAGGGTCTGGCGTCCAATATGGATTCTCCATCGAAAGTTCCTGGTGACACATCCCTGACTAACTGGATCCGACTCAACAAGGAACAAACTCAGTGGGAAATAATTTTTATGGCTTTTAGCCTAACTTGATAAAACGCTCGAATTTAACCGATTAAAGTTTCCAATAATTAAAATTTAAAATAACACTTTATTGAGGGTTGTTTGGCCCTCACAAATCTATAATGAATGGTTTATAAAGATAAAACCAATTTTTAGTATTAACAATTATATTAATAAATTTGTTTAAAAGTATTTCATGAACTTTACCAAATTATTTTAAGATAAAGTTTATTTAATTAAACAGGAAAATCATGAATTATGGCATCCACCCCAACTCATATAGTATGTACTTTGATTTTTTATTATACTGTGAAGAAATTCAATTAGAAGAGGATATTAAAAAGTACAGTATGGCCAATTCAACTATGACATACCTTCAAGAAGATGAAGTATTTTTACTTGAGGTAAATAGCTTTTTGTTTTTATTTATTTGGTTATTTTATTTTAAGTATAACAAATAATGCAATTTCAACATTATTATTATTAGTCTGTGGTGAGCACGTGGTGATGAATGACTTCTCACAAAGAGACAGGAATATAAAACAATAAGACGTGCTTTATTTTACTGTATGAACATATATACAGGAAAGGTTCGTTGATTCCGACCTCCTTATTCCTCACTTTAATTAAACAAAAGGGAACACACAACACCGACTTTTAATCTACAGCGGAGCTAAACTCTTCTTTCGCGTAACAAAGGAGACACTTAATCACTAACTTAAAACTACTTATAACTAGAAGAGGAAAGGAAGGACAGGAATTAGAATAGAATGGGAGAATAAAAATGGAAATTCCTAGTAAGGAACGGGTACCCGAATGGTTGACTGAGGTGGTGGCCACAAGATGATTTCGTCTTGGAATTCTTTTCTTCTATGGGGACGGAGCACATGCGAGGACCCAAAATTCGTTCTTAAATCTCGGCTTTTCCAAAGTTCTTTTTCTCTTCCAATGCTATTTCTATCTTTAGTGTTCTTCGTAACCCTTCCGGCCGAAGCAACACCCAACTCGAGACCGCTCTCTCCGACGGTCTTTCCTCCTCCGGTCCAAAGCCAAAAGTCCTTATCGTCCCCCACTTGCCCTCTGGCCTATCTTCACTCCTTTGTCCCGAAATTGGGTCACTGACCACCCACATTCAGACGAAAGTTCCGGAAAGTATAGAAACAGAACAAAGAGAAAGGGGATACATATATAAAATAAAAACACAAAAAATATACTGGTGTACCACCACAAGTCTAAAATAAGAATCAAAAATAGCAATGGATATTAAAGTCATATGAAATTATAGAAAGCTTGCCTGAAAAATAAAAGTACTGTAATTGAGTTATGAAATTTTTTTGTATGGTGCTGTAGGATTCACTGCTGATTACAAATAGAACCATTGTTTGCATGGAACATTGCCATACACCATCTTGTGACTAATAAAGAAAACTAAATATAAACATATGAATTTCATCACATTGTGAATTGTATAAATTAAACAAAAATGTTTTTCCCAGAATGTGTTAACTCTTGAGAGTAAGGTTCAATATAAGGCAAGCAAGTGAAATGCATCAAATTTAACTTCTTGTTTACAAAAGTCAGATTTGAAAATGGAGAGATCATTTGTCAAATTAATTCAAATCAAACATGTAATATAGTTAAAATGAAACTAAATTGTCTTTTGAAATCCAAGTAAGTGAAATGAGCCTCATTTTTGTATACCAATAACATATTTCACTGTATTTTTAAAAACCAATAGATAATTTTGCTCACCTATAAGAGGATTTCTGAATTATTTATATTATTTAATCAATTAAGTGGGATCTTATACAGATGATCAACTCATTCTTCAAATTTTTGTTTCATTAAAAATAAATAAAAAACTATTGGAAGTCTTTAAAATTCTAGGTATAGCATATATGAAGGAACCCACATTTTATGCATGTAACGTTATTTAATGAAACTTATTTGAATGTCTTCAACTTCTTCAAACCAATTAACATCCCAAACATTTAATGTAAAGATAGGAAAATGATTACTAAACACCTTATTTAATACTGAAAATTTTAAATTAAATATAAAAGATGCAACTGAGCAAATCAACTACAGAGTTCATTCTAAAGTGACACAGTAATATTCTGCTCATGAGACAGACATATCTTTCAGGATCAGGATTTTCACAAAATTTCACTTACACTATTAACAACTAAATTCCAAGAAACTATTTTTGACCAACAACTGTGATATCTCCAGACTCTAACCCCATAGAACATATGTGGGATGCTCTTCCACATGTTGCATTCCATCAGTCTCTACAAAGTTAGAGATGCTCTTGTTCAAGAATGGACTCTGCTCCTGACAGAGCTAATAATCATAACCAGCACAAGCAATCTCTGTGTAGCATGTATGTGCAAGAACACACCACATTACAGTACTCATTTTTTGTGCATAAATATTTAAAACAGTGCTTAGTACTTTTTCTTCTTGTTTTTGGTTTAAAGTAATTCAGATTAACTTTTAATTGTTTTGTTGTATAAAGAATACATGATCTGCTTTGTATGTTAGATTTGGGATATTTGAGATATAGGCCAAATTAATGGTATGCTTTTTTTTTAGAACATGAATGTACTCTTAACTAAATGAAATTATTATTATTAACAAAATGGAATGGATTAAAAACAATTTTATTTAAATATTATTTCAGGTGCCTGGTTTAATGGAAAATAAACCTTCTATTCTGAAAGGAGATTCTATATATGTAAGATTAAATAATAATTCCCAGAACCCAATTACTGAGTATGAAGGACGTGTTCATAAAATAAATCAGAATTCATTGGTATTAGGATTTTCAAAGGAGTAAGGATTTTTTTTTTTTTTTAAATTTAATCTACCTGTGAATATCATTGACATAACTTTGATATTAAATATATTTGCAGATTATTTGAAACATTTATGGATGGAATGAGATTTGATATCAGATTTTCATTTAATAACAATAATTTTAAATTGATGCATCGTGCATTGAAAATATATAATCAAGTCGATATTATTCCATTATTATTTCCAACTTCAGAAACTTCTGCTAAGCATCAGTTGCAATCTGTGAAAAAATTTGTGTATGTATTTAAACAATTTATAATAGACTAATAGTATGTTTTTTTTGCTTTATTATAAGTTGAAATTACTTTTTTAGCTTTTTTAATAAAGACATAGAAAGTAATCCCGAACAAGCAACTGCAGTAGAACAGATTGTTCTTGGAAGTTCGTATCCTGCTCCATATTTGCTCTTTGGCCCTCCTGGAACTGGAAAAACAGTTACACTTGTAGAAGCCATTAAACAGGTTTGCATAAATACATTGTTTTGTTAATTTTTCTGATTTAGTAAAGATGTTTATTTTAAATTAAATCAGTTATGGAAACTGGATGATGATACAAAGATTCTAGTCTGTGCACCTTCAAATAGTGCAGCCGATCTGATTACAGAAAGGATAATAAAACATGTTCCACTGCGCCAAGTTTTTCGGATGTATGCATTCTCACGATCTTTGAAGTTTATTCCTGAGAAAATTAAAGTAAGTTCTTGTGCCGACATTTTAAAAATTATTATTATGATTTTGAGATTTAATATTATTTAAATCATTTTTAGAAATGTAGTAACGTTCATTCTTCATCTCGGATGATTTTTTATCCTTCCCGTATACTTTTAATGCAATATCGTATTATAGTGACTACACTTGTCACAGCAGGAAGGTAAGACTCATTTTTAAATTATTATATACACATATATACAGGAAATTTTATAAAGCAAATTTAGAGAATTTCATAAACCTTTCTTCTCTTGTTCAATATAGAGAGAGAATTTCTCTAACACAATATACAGATATGTGGAGTTCATAACAAATTTTCAAATTTCCCAATAGAATTTCCCTAATTTTGAACAAATATGGCAAACTAAATGATAATAAGGATGATTGAGGATATTTGTAACATCTAATAAAAGCTGCTATTTCCTATAGATGTGCTGTGTGCATGCTTTATCATTACACACATCTTACAACAGGAACACATATTAAATACCTTTAAAAAATGCACATAAGCATTGTGCAATATCAATGTTAGTAAGGAGTTTTCTAGTATTTTATGCTGTCAACGTCGCAGCTATTCCCCATTTTAAAGATTGGCAAGTAGTGTAACTAATCAGTGAAAGCAGTTAATAGTTGACAGGCACAACTCTATTGTTAAAGGAAAAATATGACGTATAGGGGCAAGCCACTATTAATTTGAGGTGGAGGGCATATATTTTAAATGAAATGAATTAAAACTTGCAGCCAGGCATTATAATGATGCCCTCTTAGTATACAAAATCGTGATCCCATACACACATATTTGGAAGAACAAACTGAAATTGATAACAAACAGCCAGTATTTTGATCAGCTAAACAAAAACACTCCTTTAATTATATATTGGATTAATGATTTAATTTGAAATAATTAAAAAATATTGACACCATTAATTCTTGCTTAACCAATTTATAATCCAATAAGAAATCATATTTGGTTTTGAAAGTTTTAAATATTTTATAATCTAATTTTCAGAATAGTATCTGCTGCTTTTCCCTGCAATCATTTCACTCACATATTTATCGACGAAGCTGGAAATTCTTATGAACCGGAAACGATTATTCCAATATCCGGTTTATTACAGAGTTCAATTGATAATCCTAAAGGCGGTCATCTGATTCTTGCAGGAGATCCAAAACAGTTAGGTCCTATTGTGAGATCAAAATTAGCCACTAAATATGGTTTGGGTAATTATTTTTAATGTTTACTTTCATTTTATTTATTAGAAGTATATAATGTTTTCTTTTAAATAGGTTTGTCACTTTTGGAACGCCTGATGAATATAGAACAAGTGTATGGACGTAAAGAAAATGTGTACAACAAACAAGTACTTACAAAATTATTAAAAAATTATCGAAGTCATCCATCCATATTGAAACTTCCAAATGAGTTGTTTTACGACAACGAATTGCAGGTAAGAGATTTAATTAATTTAACAAATTAATTAGCATTTTTGTAAAACTCTGTGGGTATCTTTTCCATACCTATTGTGGATTCAGCAGTCCCACAATGGGGACAGCTGAGTAGTGAAGGATGGTATTTAGACTCCCCTATAACACTGTAGATAATTCCGTGTTATATGAATTCCATGTTGTACGAATCACTTAGATTTTATAAATACTTGAGCCGTTCACAGCCCGGCACACGTATTTGTAAAATCTAAGTGACTCGTACAACATGGAATTCATATAACACGGAATTATCTACAGTGTTATAGGGGGTCTACTGTACTTGACATATCTCAAACAGACTGCATATGAAAAATCGGTGGTTGCTTGCCTGGATTCAATCCCAGATCATCAGATCATCTAATCTGTAAATAATGCTCATCTACCAGAATAATTTAGGTAGAGACTATAATAATAATAATGATTATCACGAAGAATTTAATTAAAGATGTGAATTTGCTTTTTTTTTCCAGGCATGTGCAGACAAAACTGTGTGCGATTTATTCTGCAATTGGACGTATTTACCATCAAAAGGTTTCCCAATTATATTTCATGGTGTCATCAGTCAAGATAAGAGAGAGCCAAACAGTCCGTCGTATTTTAATCCCGAAGAAATTTCAGTTGTTATGGATTACATTGAAAAGTTACTCGAGTCTACAGGAGATCTTAATTTGTCTCCAAAAGATATAGGAATTATATCACCTTATAGGAAACAGGTGAAAATTAATTTAGTTATATTTATACAGCTGGAAATGAATATAACAAAATTAACATATTTATTTAATAAATTTAGGTTGATAAAATAAGAAACGAATTGAAATTAACTAAAAACTGCAATGACATTTCTGTTGGATCCGTGGAAGAATTTCAAGGGCAAGAAAGGAAAGTAATCATTATTTCGACTGTCCGCAGCAATACTGATCTTCTCGCCATAGATGATAAATTTAAACTTGGATTTCTGAGAGAACCTAAAGTAAATTTTATTAATTAAAAACTTTTATATTTTCCAATCCAATCCATAAATTTATAATGTCCTTTTCATATTTCAGAGATTTAATGTAGCAGTAACAAGAGCAAAAGCATTATTAATAATAGTCGGTAACCCTTTCATCTTATCAAAAGATAAGAATTGGAACAGGTTTATATTTATTTATTTTTTTAAATGATTTTTGCCAAATATGTCTAAAACACATCACTAATAATAATTATTTTTATACATAGGCTATTGGAATATTGTTGTGACAATAAAAGCTATTGTGGTGTCCCTTATGTCTGCAATACCAACAATGAAATTGGTGATCTTAAGGAAAGGATGTCATACTTTGGAATTGGTAATTAATTAAAGATTATTATATATAAATTTCATTTTTCATTAAAAAGATAGAAATGCTCTATTGCTTTGATGTATAACATTGTTATATAATTTCCAGTTGAAGTGGAGAAAAGTGAAGAGGAAGAAATTAATGAGGAAGAAGAAGAAAAATAAATATTAATAAAGAATCTTTACAAGATGCAAAATAGAAAAATGATTTGTAATATTTTTGTAATATGTGTACATATTTGAATATATATTGTTGGTTTACTCCACTACCTCACTGTTGAGATGTATTGATCTTTTTTAATTTTTTACTGGTGCAAATCTTGTATACTTTTTATACCGTATATACTCGTTTTTATACAAATATATTTAAAAAAAAATTTATTAATTAAAAATTTCGTATTGTCTTATCACAGGAGTGGGAATACAATTTGCAAATCAGATATTGATGATTTTTTGTCACGACTGTCGCCATGTTGTCGCTGAGGATTACTACAGTCACCCCAAAAAACTTATGTTTTAGCCCATTTCTTTATTCGTCAGTATAGACTTTAAGTATGGAGGCGGCTGTGGTATGTGCATTTATCATAAAACAGAAGAAATCAACGAAAAAAACACTACTGTGTCACCCGATTTGGAGCGAAATAGAGTGCTTAATGAACTGCATTCCTATCCTCAAAAATTCTTTGTATACAATAAACCCCCTATAACACTGTTGATAATTCCGTATTATATGAATTCCATGTTGTACAAGTCATTTAGATTTTACAAATACGTGCCGGGCTGTGAACGGCTCACGTATTTGTAAAATCTAAGTGACTTGTACAACTTGGAATTCATATAATACGGAATTATCAACTGTGTTATAGGGGTCTACTATATTTCTGTGTGAGTGTTGAGAGTTTTGTGAATTACTACAAATTTTGAAACCTTCTGTTATCTTATCAAAACACAAACATGCGCCATTTTTATTTTTAAATTACCGTCAGAATATTCTTTCAACGTTTTGTTATGTAGGGGTTGCTTCATTTCAACCTCTATTAAAACATTTATATCGTCCTATCCAACTACCAAACGCATACCCGCCTCAATTTTCCAATACAACTCCCTTGACAGGCAAAGTTAAGCAACTCTCGTTGCTGGATTTTCGGATTCTATTATACTAGATTACTTGATTGTTACTACAGTGAAATCTGGTCAACTGGAATCGATTGGGAAATTTGGACTTCGAATTACGGAGGTTGGGCTAAAAATAAAGATTTTGTGCATGAATTTATAATAAACTACCCATACGATATTTCTGTGTAAGTAGTTTATTATGGGATTAATTAAGAATTTACTTCTTATTAGCATTTACAATGCTTTATAAAACTCATCTCTCTGAAAAATTAGGCGTTTTCCCATTTTAAATTAATTAGTTTTTCATTAATTAGTAATATGAAAAGTTTACAATAAAATCACATAATAGATGGCACCAAATACAATTTATCTATTTATATAAAGGAGAGTGTTTGTTTGTTCGCTATGCACTCGTAGACCGTACGACAAATTTTCACTAAACTCGGCACTTACGTTAACATGTTTTTAACATAGATAATGTCGTACAAATCACCACGAAATATTGATTGCATTTCTGTCGATTTTCGATTTTTTTGTTTTAATATGTGGCGCCATATATTGGCGAAAAAAATTTAAAAATAATAAACTTAATACAATTTATACAAAAACGGATATAATTTTTTAAAAAGAAACAAATATTACATTCAGTTAATATGGGCTGACCACGTGGAAGTTTGTAGGTTTAATACACGTTAAATGCGGGCCAGATAAAGCAATAAACCTTTTAGGTGTCTTTCAGTACACTTTTCTCATACAGTGAGAAAAATAGTCTATTTTGGGCTTCTTGGGTCCTGTTTAGAAGCGTTTAAATAAAGGATTAAAAAAAGAAATTTCTTGTAATTTAATTTCAAAATTAAAAAAAAAAATCTAAGTAGGGTCATTTTGACTAGCACCATCTCACTTAAAGGTTTTAAAACTCTTCCTTTCCTTTGCACACTTTTACACGAGTTAAAATATTCTAGCTCGCTGCCTTTATACAAAGCAAATAACACGTCCCTTGACTAAAAAGAAAATGGCGAACGTGTATTCAATTTTCTTTAAACATAACCACTTTAAGAAGTTTATTCTAGTTCGTTGGAAGAACAATTTAAAATGTTTACACAGGAAATCCTCGTTAATTTTAATTCGAAATTCAAAGGACGAAATAATCACGACTTCGAATTATCCGAAATTTACATATTTCTGCACAATACGCCAAATGTCACATAACCGATTTAATTTATTAATTTAAGGAAACGGGATACGGCTACGTATACAGAACGCTACTTTCGTCAATTAATAATTATAATAGCACGTATTACTAGTTAAAAGTGAAGTAGATTTATGAACAGAGACGTTGCTTAAAAATGAATTATTCTATAAAAAATTAATATTGTAAGATTATGAGATGGAATTATGAATAAAATAAAACATAGGGGGGACTTAAAATTTATGGTCTGTGACAGTTAATAACATATATAGAATTACTTAGACTTAATGTTCGTTTCTGAACCGCTCGTTATAATACAATTAATGGTATTTTCCACTTCCTATTTCTGTTTCCATTCCTTAAAATCATTAAACGAATTAAATGTCTGATTATAATTACATGTACAGTACTAATATATTGTGTAGCTCTCTGAAGTGTGACAATACTACTACTTTTTTACAAACTACATTTAAATAACTTTATCATTCCTGTTATAGTCCTTCCTTTTATGCTTCTTTTTCATATGTCTGCTTAAACTTTGTTTATGCTTGTACTTTATAAAAAACATTTATTTAAGAGCAAGAAAACTGTGCAAAATTTTAAATATTTACAAAGTTTTAGCCATTCCCGCAAACTTTCATCGACCCCTAAAAGGTCAATGTCGACCCTTTCGGGAAATCCGAAGTTAGAATGTTAATAGAACAGTATAGAAAGTAGAATAATAATAATAATAATAATAGAATAGTATAATAGAACGTTAATAGAATGTATTTAACAAAATATTTCAATTTTAGAATTAATAAATTACTTATCAACAGTTTATAATAAATTTAAATTTGATTTTGTACTCGATTTTTTCAACGAAACACCAAAACACTTTGGGCTTTCAACATCAAACGGCATAAAAAAGTTGCCCAGCAGAGGCCGAATTGATAAATGGAACAATCAGCTCTTCGCCTGCCGTTCGTCATTACCAGACGAACGACAACCTAGAACTCACCACGTGGAGGTGGCTGCTTCAGAGTTCCACCAAGAGTTAGAAAGAATGCTACTCCACAAGTGACCAACATCACTTGTCGAGTCCAGTTCTTCCTAACTCGCACAATGAAAATATTTATAATTACACTGAATACTCCAAATTCAGCTATTCGAAACTCGCCGTATTACTGTATTACTATCTAAACTAAGGGATGCAATATTACAACAACTAGTAATAAAGAAAGACAGAAATCTATAAATACACGTAATAAAATGCTCGTTACGGCAACAAAGTTTAGTTCAACCTCATTAACCAAAAACAAAGAATAAAAAAAAAAATACTCGCCCTGCACGGGATTTAATAAAGCGGGACACAGAAAGTCTTCTCCATCTCCAGTCGGCCTCTTCACTCGAACGGCCCTTAAAGAAACGGGACACAGAGAGCCCTTTAATCCTCACCGTCTTTTGTCTTCACCCGATGCGGGACACAGGGAACCTTCTCCACCTTTCGTCGGAGTCTCCTGGTCTTCGTCCGAGCGGGCCTTAAAGATGCTGGACACAAAGAGTTAGTTTGAGTAAAGAGTAACTCGAGTAAAAAGGCCGACGGGAGATTCCATCTCTTTACTCGAGCGTGCCCAAGAGAAAGGCTACACAGAGAGCCCTTTCTGCCTTCCGTACATTACTGAAGTTTACTTAATCGCAACTTTTTCGAGAAATCTCAAAGAAACGCGGAACTTTCGAACAAATTTACTCTTAACAATTGCCATCTACAATAAAAAAAGCCAACAATACATTCTAACAATTCGTTACGTATTGTTAGAATATATTGTTAAGAACGCGTGACGTTTTACGATCCTGTCATATTTTTACGTCACGTGTTACGTAAAAACATTAATCGGTTTGAAATATTTCAAAAAGGATTATTTTATTAAAATAATATTCATAGAGGAATTTGTAATGATTGTGGCCCTTCGCACGCCAGGTAAGGTTTGTATTTTCGGGGAAAAACGTTCTTCAAAATTCGGCCGCTACGGTGAAATTTAGCGCTGCTTTCCCTATTGTGTGTATATTATGCAAAAGTATAATCGGATGTGTCCTCCATCTCCATGTTCTAAAAATTCCATTCACTGAAGTGACCCTCGACCTTCTGTATCAGAAATTCATTAGAAAACGACCCATCAATGGCCGAGTGGCTAAAACCACTAAACATTCGCGGGTTAGCCGCGCAGAATTTCCCGGATTTTCTTCACATGTCTAACACCTAAATAAGGACCAGTTTCTCAGTCTTCCAAAAAAAAGGCACCACCTTGAACTGCCTATTCAATCAAAAACCACACCAAACCTTGTATGGATATGCTGCTCATACTAAGATTTAAACATCATTATTGGGCTTCAATTTTCAAATTGCAGACCTATATATTTCCAATTGTTGTCTGTCTGTCCTTCCTTAATCTCGAGAACGTACTTATTGTTAGATGAAAACCGAAAGCAGATACAGAGCTGGAGCTCCATATTAACTATACACTGTACGAAGATTAGGTTAAGTTATGTATATTAAGCTGTCATTTTAATATTAGACAAAGATTTCTTTTGTTTAATTAGTGTTTACTCTTTTTTACAGTTTTTAGTGTATAATGAACAAGCTTACGACATTCTAAGGCCAACATGTAAAATGATTTGATCTAGAAAGGTAAAGAATCGTACATAAAAATTCACATTTTATATAAGAAATATAGGCTAAAAAATTTTTATTACTAAAAAATATATTTTTTTTTCCACTTTTTACTTACATTCAATAAAATTTCATCATATAAACTTTCAATCTAATATTATAAACATCGCCGTGATGTAAACACGAAGCTTATTTATGTAGAATTATTTACACCGAGAATCTTATGAAAGTATTTACAACATAATATATTTTTAATAAGCTCAAATATAAATATGTACTACATAGGCCATTCTTAATGCGAAGTGCCGAATGCCGATATGAAAACATTGACAACTGTAATCAAAAATATACCTATGATAGTTAAATTATTAAGCAATTCTGCATTATGTTGCTGAGCGGTCATGTTGATATTGTAGCGGTTATTCAATACTAATAAAACTCCCACGATGATCTGAAAAATTAAAGTAGGAGTTAATCAAAATTGAACGATGTGACAACACCCTAAACTTTAATTAAACTTCTCCTTTAATGGTTCCTATTTGTTTTGATACTTTATCTCGGCTTTCATTTATCAAAAATAATATTATACCGAACACCGTGTTTAGAGTTTCCTCCCCCTTATACAATTATTATGTTAATATTTAATTACAATTAAAATGTACTGCGTTAAATGCCTTTGCTATAAACAGTCAGTTAATAAAATATAAATGATAAGAACACAAGTTTTTCACCGTTATTGGCCATAGATTAATTATTACGTTTCCCGTCTTTCAATGGAAACTAATTTATTTTTTCATACATATTGTCAAGATATCATTCTGCCCCTTTTAATAATATTACCCAAAGAAAATTGTCTAGAGATTGTGGCTGATATTACTTAACCTTGCATCCACCCAATTTATAATTGTGTGGCTAGAAGTTTAAGAATGTTTCAATTGAAAAGATATAATTTACGATTACTGTAAAAAGCGTAAAAATCAAAAACGAACAATTACTATTCTTTCAGTGAACACCTTAAAAAAGCAATTATTTATAATACAGTCAAACATTTGAACAACAGCCACTGATAAACCCTTAATTAAAGTGTCCCATGTCCATGTTTATAATTACCGATTGTTACACATTGTTATACAATTACCGATCCTTTGATATTCCTTAACTACATTTCATATCAAAACAAATATTCTGTGAGGATGTAGAATGATATGTAACTCGTAATAATTAGCTAAAACAAATTAAGTTTTGGCTACTGATAACACTTATGATGAAAAGGAAATTTGTTATATATACAAAGACAGGAAAGACTTACATTGAGCTGGCTGATACTTAAAAATTTAGGCCTATAGGTACGGTACATAAGTATTTGTGGATGCCTTCTAAATGTTCGAGGAAAGGCCAGTAATAAATTTATATTCGATCAAAATTAAACATAAGTGCAAATACCAGTCTGTGTTTATATAATACGGTTACCTGGTTTATTAAAATTATATACAGTGATTATATACTTTAATATATTTTTCGTAATATGACAAAAGTACAGTTTAACAACTGAACTTTTCTTGTTTAAAACGCTTACAACGTGTCATAAATTCATTATCGCCTATAGAAAAAAATAAATAAATAAATGAAACGAAGAGTTTAAATAATCAAACGATAAAACCCTATTCTTATAGGGCTATAACATAAATAATTAATTATTAAGGTACTCAGTAATTTGGACAGTCGGCATTGATCTGTATATACATTGGGGACAATGATGGGTGAAAAACATTCTTATTGTCAGGTTTTGAATGGATATAAAAAATTAAGGTGTACTGTACCAATTGTTGTTGTGTGTACTTGTCACTACTAATAATTTTTATATTATGGTATAAAATTAAAAATACATAGCCTATATATCTAGGGAGGGTGGGTAATTTTCTGGTACAAAATAATGGGAGATATATCCAGTCTCTTATGGATTGACGTCCTTTTATTGGACTAGAGAAGTTTAGAGAAGTTTAAGCTTATCAAGACGAATTAATTAAAAATTTTTCTAATAAGAATTGTGACAATTTAATTTTCAATTTTAAATAATTACAACTAAATTGTTTTCAACTTTAAATTTGAAAAATAATCGAATTATTCAATTTAATTTCGAACTTGATTTAATTTATTCAATTCTGCAATCCAGTTAAGATTAACGAATTTAAATCTGTTTGTTCCAATAAGTTAAAATTGCTTTTCATTTGAACTTCTATATTTTAATCTGTTATTTACGAAACGAATACCTTATCCACTTTCAAACTTAAATATAAAATTTGGCTAATCCCCTTTATTTCCAATCTGCAATATGTGCATCACTCTAGTTGAGTATTACACAAACAGATTGCAAGGGATAAAATTAAGATGTTAACAATGAATGCAGAATATTTAAATAATTGCTCTTTTAAGGCTTTATGCTTTTTATTCCATACTTCAATTACATAATTCCAGACAGATTGATATAATGGGTCTTGAACTAGAATATTTACTGAACAAAAACCACTCAAGATTATAAACATCCTCCAGCTTCAACTACTTTCCTGTGTTTATAGCATATCAATGTAATTAAAAAGTTATAAAGTCCTATATTCTCAGCTTTGGTTTAAACTACATTTAAACTGTTGCAGTGTAGTTGTAGTATATATAAAATTAATTGTCTGACTTATTAATAATATATTATTTAACATAATTTCATAAATTAGTTAATTTTATACAGCATAATATTTCTATACTGTAAATATTCCAAGTGTAGTGTTAATATAAAACAAAGATATTTATAGAAAGATATGTCTATATACACAAACACATATCCTTCTATAAATATCTGTAATAGTTTGTTTCATATAAACACTACACTTAGAATATTTAAACTGTTACAGTGTAGTTGTAGTGTATATAAAACTGTCTAACTTAAGTGAGTATATTATTAATATGTATTCTGTGTGTATAAGTATAGACATATATTTCTATAAATACCTGTAACGAGATAGACACGCTGAGGCAAGTGACGTTTAGTAGATAGTACTTGTCATTCTCCCCTTCACGCAAAACATATTTCAATTGAGATGCATTGGCAGTAAGAAGGGCTATGTCCATCATCCCTTGAGCAACTGTCTTTTTGGCGGCATATAAATTAACATCCATGGCAGGCCGAGAAGAACGAGGACGTTCCTGTAAAAAGCAAATACTATTCGTTTTTAATACGTTTATTTTTAAATAATTTCCCGTTTCTTACCTCCCGTTCGATGAGTGTTCTATCCGGTTGATCGCCACATTCGACCATACTCGTCTGCTTCATGTTAATCGCTTCGTTTCTCTCCTCCATCACCCCGTTCGCGCCCGTTTCTACTAAGAAGTTAACCGGAGGCCATTTTGAAAGTTTAAAAAAACGCGTCCTTGAACGTCTATTACGTCATCGCAGGCGGACGATTTATGACAAAACATCCTGTAGAAAGTTCAAGAGAAATAAAGAGGTAAAAATATCAGAAATTTAATCGAAATTATTATTATAATTTAAACGTGATCATCCTTTAATAACTATACTATAAACATAGAAATCGTGAAGTTATTTTTATTAATTTTTTTAAAATATTAATTAATATATTAATTTTATATTAATTTATTCCAGATGCGATTAAAATTTTACTCATATTTTATGAATTTTTTTTTAAAATTAATTTTACTTTTTAAAAAATAATAATGCTTACGTCAAGCGTCAAGATTTTAAAATTAATGACGTCACTTTAACTCGATTAAAATTCGTTAATTCTATTTAAGACTCTAATTATTATTAGAATGCAAGTAATTGAACGGGTATTATTAATTAATTACAATTAAAGGATGCCGTTACTTTTAAAATTTCCTCCATTGTTTAACCGTGTTTGGAGGAAGACAGGAAGCGTTAATGTTAATTAGTTGTGTTATTATAACTCAATGGCGATTCTTTATACGTTTATAAATGACTTAAAAGTGGAATGAGTCGTGTGGAATGTCTTTCCGTAACTCGTTCTACCGCTTATTGGGCGTTAGAACTTATTCGTAAATCCGGTTACGTGCTTTACTATTGGTCACGCTGTCATTTTATAGATTGACTTTGTAATTATTGGTTGACGTAATTGCTAGCGAGGTTTCAGCCTTGCCATGACTTGCAGCGAAGTAAGTTGGGTGTAAATTAGGCTAAAATTCCGTTTTGTAGTTTAAATAGGGCCCTGTGACTTGCCGTAGGAGGCATAAAATGCTTTAATACGGCATGTATACCCGAACACGTGGTCTGTCTTGGGCAGGTATGCCCTACTTAAGAGTGATTTAATTTAATATTCTGCAGCTCGTTTCGTTGTTTTAAGATGTAAAACTGCAAGTTTAAATCTTATTTACGTTTGATTTTTGTTTATATAACGATATCTGAAGGTTAAACTCGTGTTTATGTTACGAGATTCGAGTTAAAAGTGTCGAATTGGTGTTTAATTTTTTGCTTTTGTTGTTTTCAGTGCACTCGAGAAGCGAGACGTGTCCCTATGGATGTAAATATCTACGCGACGAGAAAAACTGTAGCTCAGGGTATGATGGATATTGCTCTATTAACTGCCAATGCGTCCCAGTTAAAGTATGTTCTTAGTCATTCGGATATGCACGAATATTTCCTAATTAACATTACGTTAATTGGCACTTCGATGGCTTTACAGGTTAGTATTTAAGTTATGAATTACACTTAGGCTATATGAAGTTTTATATGTATCAATAATACACACAAACATACATTATGCATATATACTGTCTGTGTATGTAAGACCTATGTGTATATTTTAAATCAAGCCTACAGTATAGACCTAATGAAACAAAATTCATTTAAAAAAATGGCATCAGATATGTTTTTATCAGTATTTTTGTTACAAAATTTCAAACAATATATATATAACAATATAGATCTATTGTATGGGAAGTTAGAATTTCTTACATAAATCAGTAACTTCTGATAGAAAAGCATTTGTAGATTTATTAATTTATCCTTATTATAAGATTGTTATTCTATATTTTAATAGATCTGATCTTCCAAAACTGATGAAAATAAAGAGGTGATGATAAACTATATATTCATTAAAGCTTGTCTTGATAATCTATTATTTGGCAGATGCCTGGTAAAATGGCATAGGCTAATATAACTGGATAAACAAACCAATAATATAATTCATTAGTTCTCAATCGGTAGTATGCATACCCCTGGTATACATAAGAAGGATCGGTTACAGACTGCTACAAAAGGATAGTGAAAAAGGTTGAGAACCTCTGATATTCAAATAAAAGGAGGTATGTTATGGACTTGCTTATCCAGTTGTAGTAAATCTGCTTTAGGCATTACTTCCAAAAATATTGAAGTATGTTTATAAGATTAGATTTGTTAACAATTTACAAAATATCCAAGTTCACTTATGGCCTGAATTCTTTATATTTCCATAATAAAAAATACAGATAATTTCTCAAGTGTTCTCCTAAAAATGATTCAGAAGTAACCTCATTCAAGAGTATTATAAACATTAAATATTCATACTGTCCATTTTATTTATCATAAAAGTCAATACCTAAATACATAAATCAGTGACATAAAAAATGTATCCAAGGTTAATAACATTACCATAAATTACATTACATTGAAAGTGACAAAAATTTACTGTTTAAAGGTGATTTATAGTGAGTAATTTATTCACAGATAATTGTTGGAATAATGCTGATTCTAGTAGGAAGATCTAATATTAATTATAAGAAACACCAGAAAGGAGCCGATGAGATGAACAACGCCATTGTAGTCATGATATTCCTAATAACTGTGGTTAATGTTTTAATTAGTGCATTTAGTGTGGACGTGGTCGAATACGATGATACTTTCACAACCGTTCCTCCATTAGACGACGATGGAATTTCCGACAAAGTTCAACAACCGGGTCGAGTAGAGAGAGATTTACAATATTATTGGCCTAATTGTTCGGAAAGATTTTGATTTTTAATTACTAATCTAAAATATTCTCAAATGCCTCTACAGTATTAAAAGTTAGTGAAGAGATTGTAAGGATCACATGGTATTAAGTGATGGAATTTTTTTTTACTCCTGCGAATTAAACATTTAAAAATAATTTTCTAGAGTTGTAACTAACTTAAATTCTTGTACTTCAATTAACTGTGATACTTAAACCTTTGTACTTTATAACTGTGTAATAACACAATAAATAAACAATAAGAACTGTCACCTGTGAGTGATTTACAGATGGATTGTCGTGTTAATTACTATTCTTTCACTTTGTAATCGTTAAACAGATAAACACAGAACTCTTTTGTGCTAAATTGTTTTTTTAAATAATTCTTTTTGTGTTTAAACGTTTCGAAATGAATGTAGACAAGGCGAGATTAAGAAAACTTCACATCAAACGTAACTTTTTTTTTTCTTTTTTTAAATTATAACCTTGAAGTTCATAGGTTAATAAAGATTAACGCGTCGTGAATTTTATTTCGTCATAGAATTTAAATTAAAAACTTAAACATTTATTATAATTGATAATCAAACTTTACATGTTTAAATCACTCTCATCCTGAAGGACAGGGCCATCGACAGAGGGGGAAAGCTGGGGATTTTTCCACGCACCCGGAGAAAACTTTGGGATTTTTTAGTGCTTATTATAAATTAATAATGTTGTATTTCATTTGTTTAAAAAAATTGGGGGCTAAATGAGCCCTAAAGCTTGGTATGGGGGCCTGATGCCCCATACCAAACTGAAATATACTGTATTTTGCATAAGTATTTTTATGCTGATTAATTACTTTTAACTATATTTAAATTTAGAAATTGCTTTTGAAATTTCTAAATTTAGAAATTTTTGCTTAGAAATCGCTTCTTTAGAAATTAGAAATTGAATTGGAAATTTAGAAATTGCTTCATTTAAATTCTTTTTAAACATAAATCTGGAGTAAAAATTGCAAAACTTTAATTATATAGTTGAATATAATCATATGAGACGAGGTAGTGATTTTTTGGTGTAATGAGAATAATAGTTTTATTATTACTATTATTTGGTATGTCATTCCGAGAATGATTAAGAAATTGCATTTATGTATGTAAGTGTTATCCTTTGCAAGATTTCAAACTTGTCCTGAATATCTACCCAAACCGGATTTTGTGTTTTAATTTCGGCTGTGTAGAATTTATAAATAAAATGCTGTGCTTTTTTTTAAAATTTTAATACTTTTGTGAGATAATTGGAAGTGGGAATTAATGTACTGTACAATATAAATTTTTATAGTAGTCTACAGTCAATATGACAATAAAACTTGTATAGTCTAAGGCAAGTTTTTCTGATCTTTACTGGTCGTGGGTTCGCGCCTCTCCAACGTGTTTGCCACGTGGAGTTTTCCTGGTTTTTTCTCGTTTTTAACATCTAAATAGGGGCCTGTTTCCTGTAGAAAGTCCTCCGGGTATCGCCCACGTGTTGCGTTGCCTTATACAACAAACAACTAATCTTTAATGCTTGTTGGCTCTTTTCTATACTAATACAAAATATATAAGATTTTTTATTCTCTTTCTGCCCTGTGAGCATTAAGAAAGCCTTTTCCTATGCATATCACGGATGTGACCGGGCCCATCCTATTCCCATGAAAAATTCCTGGGTTCTCTGCCCAGAATGGTACACTAACGCCTTAACCATCCGCCCAGAATAAGAGAATAATTTCTTTTATTGAATTTTCAATAGAAGATAAAAATAATCTCATTACGAATTTGAGTTTTTAATACATGAACTGATGCTAATAATAATAATTACTTGACAGTGAAAACAATTATTTGATAATAATAATAATAATAACAACGAAGATGAATGAATACAGACGGAACAGAAGTAGTAATTATTTACCTTTGAAATTAGGTAAAGGCCAAACAATGGCTGTTGCATGATATCAACTAACTTTATAACAATAAAATAAAGTTATATTCAGTAAGAACAATAGAAAGAAGTTAACAAGTAGTGTTTGTTTGTTTTTTCTACGCTTAATTGAAACATATATTGATTTATAATATAATAAATTATTGACAAGGTGAGGCATAAATAATACACTTTTTTGAATGTAAGGTATGTGTGTGGGGGATTATATTCACCCTGTTTGAAGCTTAATATCTCCTGTGCTTTTTGTCGAAAATTTCTGAAATTTTGCAGGAATGTTTGTGTATTAAGGAGATCGATGCTATTAAATTTTGGTGGTTAAAGGTAGAGGAGATGGGGAGATAGAGCGAATCGTATGACATATCTCGAGTAGGATCGGACTTAATGACTGTTCTCCTTGTTACTAGCATTTACAAATTTTTATAAAACACGTCCCTCATAACACGCAGCTGTAAATGTTGCCGGGAAAGTTAAGCAACTCGCTGTTGGATTTTTGTTTTTAATTTTTACATTAAGCCTGTAAACCACAAGAAACAAATGGTCCTTCTCATCTAACTTGTTTTTTCACTGTTTACAGCCCTGAATGTTTGATACGATACGGTCAATACGTGGGTGATCTACCTTTAGAGGTGATCTACGACTTTTTATGGGAAACTGCCTCCTGTTTAGGTGTTAGACATATGAAGACACGGAAAACACGTGGCAAACTCATGGGTGAGAATCGAACCCACCACTAACTTTCCACGTTCGTGAGTTTTATTCATTCGTCCACTAATTGGTCTTTTTTAGCCCAAAAACCAATTAACATCAGATGTACAGTACAGTACAATATATCCGGAAGAAGTGTGTTAATTGTGTCTTAACCTGTATTTAAATTATTTTGTATAAAACGAAAAGAAAGCACGTCATACCTGTCAGTTAATAAGGTTATTGCTCTAAATTACATCATTGGAGGAAATAATTAAAATAGATAATAATAATGTGAACCTCATGAATAGCTTTTTGTAAAAGAGAAGATTATTATTATTATATAAACAAAAATTTCTATTTTTGGAGTTCGAGTCACCTACTTAGACTATATAATTGGACATTTATAATGAATGGTTATGGAGAATAAGCGATAAGAAATAAAAAAAAAAAAACAATTAATTCCGAAATAAATTTTAAAGTGTCGTATGTATATGTTATTTTACTCTTCGTATGTAAACACGTTTATTCCCAACCTTGCTGCAAATATGCAATTATTTTTAAAGGGGAAAAAGTTGATAAATAAGAGAGAAAACAATAAGTCAAGGTTAAAAAAATTTAAAATTTTTCTATCGTCTTTCCTCATTGGCTGCCAGACAGCTTATAACAATAGCGTGAGCAGTTAAATATATTCCATTGTGTACGGACGTGCTGTGCTGACAATCGTGTACAGTGTGAACCAGTCTTTACTCCTGATTATTAATTAAAACACGAGACGGAAGAATTGTAAAAAAACACGATGATATTTTTGTTGACAATAAGAAACCAGAATGTCATTAAAGCTCAAGATTTAATTTATTAAAAAATTTCAATAAAAAAAAACAACAGATTAAACATTCTGATGGACATCCTCCCAGAAAACTTTATAAAGGAAACTGACCCTTATTTAAAAGAAAAATAATAATTTTCAATAAACCTGCATATAAATAATTTCTTGGTTATTTAAACTACTCACTTTAAAACACTTAATGATGTAAGCCCGGATAGCTCAGTCGGTAGAGCGTTAGGCTTTTAACCTAACGGTCTAGGGTTCGAGTCCCTATTCGGGCGTTATTTTTTATTTTACTTTTTACCTGTGTTTATCTTATAATTTATGTTACAAACGTGAAAGAAACGGGAAATGGCCTATCTAGACATGTCAGGTCCTGTCTTTCACACCCGGCTGTCCTATTGTGAGCTTGGCCAAATCCTTAACAGGCTTACTAAAAAAAGCACTCTTAGTATTTACAGGACAGAGAGAGTTAAAAAATAAATCATTCTACGTTATTCTTGAGAAAATTGTGATAAAGAAACTTTATATTAAGTTAAATATAGTAAAATCTGTATAAATCAGAACTGTACAGCACTGAATATTTTTCTGTTTTAATTAATTAAACGGGTATTCTTTATTTAACGTAGAAAACCGCTTCGTTTGGGCAAGTTTCTATATTATTCAGGTTAGTATTTGATAGGTTTCCCTATAAAAAAAAAAATAATTCAGCAACTAGTTGCTTAAGTATCCCGGAAACGTTTGGTGGCGCCATCTGTTATGATATTTTTTAAAAAACTTTTTAGATTCTTAACTATTATGAAATAGCAAAAAGCTTAATTTTGAGGATAGGGGTGGGTTTATAAAGAACTGTAAATGCTAATAACGAGTAAAATCGTCATTAAGTCCGACCCTACTAGAGATACACAGGACCCCCTTTTTTAACTCTTTCCGCCCTGTGGGCACTAAGAGGGCCTCTTTTTTGCAAGCCCATTATGGGTACGGCCAGGCCCACAATGCGGTGGTGACGGACGGGGCCCAACATATCCGGATGGACCATTCCCTAAAAATTTATGGGGATTATTCGACCCGTCTGGATTCTAACCCAGGTCCCCCAGAACGGTAGGCTGCCATCTTGACCGCTCAGCCATCCATCCTTCACACAGGACCCCTTTCATCTCCCCACCTCTTCGACATTTAACCACCAAAATTTAATAGCATCAATCTCCATAATGCACAAACCCTCCTGAAAAATTTCAAAAAAGGGTTTTAGGTTGTGATATTCATAAAATTGTAAGATTTTGTATTATAACGAGAATGCATTTTCATTTGAAACAAATACAGAAATGTCAGGAAGAAAAGAGAAAGAAACGGCAATATTTAAAAACTAGCAGATAAGTTCGGCGTTGCTCGGGCAAAAAGCAACGATAGCGAAGATTAACATTATTACATTATAGCCAATCTCACCTGTTTTCATAGACAAGAATTAGGTGCCCCGTTCCAACTAATTAGAAAATTTTTAGTTGGATCTAAAAATATGTTCGATTTCTTGCAAAAACGCAAAAAACTGCATCTGTGCCTGTAAATCTTGCACGTCACTTTCTCTTAAAAAATCCATTGTTACTTAAGACTTTTACAAGGGACATTTTATATATTAAATCTGTTCTGTCGTGCTTAAAATATATGTATTATTAAGATTATTATCTTAATTATTAGATCTATCAATACAATAATAATTAATAGTTTGCTGTAGTATACTAAGAGAAACCGACCACGAATCTGTAAAATGCCAAGTTTCTCTCCACGGAAATTTTCCTTACCGCTTAAAATAGTTAAGTTCTACCGTACTTTCCCAATTATAATTTATATTTATGGACGTCGACCAGGGGCGGATCTACATAGAAACTAATAGGGCTTAATCCCTGGTCCCCCAAATGTCGAGGGCCCACAAAAATTGAATTATTAATGTAAATTATTAATACTTTTTCGTTAACAATGAACAGTTAATTTTCCCATTACTAGTATCTTGGCCGCTCGGCTGAATTAACGAGATGGTGTTCTAAGAGAAGATCGTTTTGATGTTTTTATGACAGATTGCCGTGCATTCCTCTACTAACCAGGAAATTTTTTGCTTTAATTCACAATCCCGCTTAATTAGCAAATTGATGAGAAAAACATTTAATGTCCGAACATTTTCACTACAAAAGTACAGTAGACCCCATATAAAACGGGTTCATACAATACGGATTCGTATAACAAGGCGAAAAAATTGCAATCGTATTCGTATAAACACGCTAAAAGAGACTGTTATAATACGGTAAAACATCATCTCCGATTCGTGTCGCGATAGGATTGGTCGAATCTAGACCAATAGCGGATATTGCACAAACCGTTTAGTTTAAACAAGCAGCGGACCTACTAAAAATCATCATTATTTAACGGCCTTAAAAATTATATTTATATTAACGATGTCTCCAAAGTTCAGCAAAGTTTTCGCGGAAAAATAATTTATCAGGAAGCACGCGAGCGCCATTCGATGACAAGCTCCACGACGAAAACAAGCTTAAGCAATGGCGTCATGGAACGGTGCACTCTCGGTAAGTAATCCTACAATTTTGTTTATAGCATAGTTTATATGGACTATTCCCAAAAAATTATACGTATTTTGAAATGTTGAATCGAATTAGTCTAGAATCGATTAATTTTATGGAAGAAAACCTTTCAAACAGTCGTAGTTCCTAAACTGCACACGTGCCGGGCTGTGATTGGCTCATGTATTTAAGTGACTGGTAAAACACGGAATTCATATAAAACGGAACGTGTCTACCGTGTTATAGGGGGGTCTACTATAATCGAAGGTCAAATTTTTTACGCCTTTTAAAACACCAAAGATTTTTTCTTTTTCCAATTATCCGAAGGTCTAGCTTTTTCACCTACGGTATTAACCTGGCAAACAATTGTCGCTTACTCTTTCAAAAATTTACATCTTTTGTCAGTTTAATTTTTAGACAAATAACTATGCTAGGGCATTGCTTGAAAATAGGGTCCGGTTTCGTCCGCATTATAAATATCCTGGGGTGAATGTTCCATAATAATCTTTGGCCATTCAGTCTGTATCCGCTCGTTAGATACTAACAAATCAGTACTTTTCTCTTCACCGTGAAGATGTTTATACCCAATAATTGTATAGCTTTTTTGCAACCCACCCGTCGGTTGCAAGATTTAAAATCTTTAAATTTTTGAATGCACGGTTGCATTACGTTCGGTCATTTTGGGAAACCTAATGTTTAACGCTCCAAAATTCTTTGCTGTTCTTGAAGAAACAAATCTCTATGCTGTTGCTTCGCTTCTGCTGCGATCCAAAGGATTTTTTACGGCATTTTATACGGTTTTCTCGACTCGAAAGATCGTAAAATTAAACTAGGGGAATCTCAACAGGTGCGTGTGTTTATCCCAACTAACTACAACAATATGTTTTGAAAAGATAAAGGGTACGCTTTATGTACTGTATTTCCACGAATTCTTGTCGTGCATACAGTATGTAAAAGATAAAAAGTATGCTTCGGTTATTAAAAGTAAGATATCAAGAAAATATCCATATATGGTAGTACAAATTTTCTAAATTCTTATCGTTTGTCCCCTGCGTAATTATTGCAGTTGGTAACAATAGTCGAAGTTTAGTTATAATAGGCAGATTAATTTAATTAAACTAAATTTATATGGAGTGTTTTGAGACTGCTGGTTAAAATAATAACCAATTGATAACATTACCTAAGATTATAATTACTGGATTCCACTAAGAAAAAAAATGCTGTGATAATGCACACCACAAGCCTGAGTTATTCTTTAAATATTTAGGATTTGTAATAGACCATAAATTATTGTGGCATGACCATATCCAGTAAATCAGCAGGCAAAACAATGTTCCTTTACAAAGACTACTTTTCATTAGAAGTTATGCCTCTGCAAAAATATGTGGAACAATTAAAATGTTCACTGATAATAAGCCAATAATTAACTCGAAGCCGTCTGCAGTATATACTGTAAAGTTTTCCATATAACACGGTCACGTTAATTCGAAATTGTCGGTACTTTTAAATCAGCTGACCGTTATTCTATAGGCGTTTATTGAGCAATTGTCCGAGATTCCACCAACAATGCCTCAAAACCAATCTTTTATAAGAAAATATTTCCCTCGAATTCTCTCGAAGAAAAATGTCTGAAGTCATCATTGTACGTGGGAACCCTTTATTAAAATTTACCTGGGCCCCATAAAGAGCCACTGCTTTTAACTAGAACCTATTTTTTTGTGTACCCTCTTCCGCCTTTTGATAGGTCCATGATCTTTATTTTCTTTTCTATAGAGTTACCAATGTTCGGGTAATTTTGGTTTTTTTTTTCAGCTGATAATCTTATTAATATTTAGTGAGTAGAGAGGTTGAGGCGCACGTTTTAAACGTGTAAACGTGTACGTGTGACGTTCGGCGCCGCTTTCCCGTAAGCCTAAAAGTTTGACGATGGTGTCTGAAATGTCGAGCGTGATTCCACCGACTATCCAAATACCATTGTCAAACTTTTAGGCTTTCGGGAAAGTGGCGCCGAACGTCACACGTACACGTTTACACGTTTAAAACGTGCGCCTCAACCTCTCTATTAATTTCAGAAATTTCAACATCAACTTTTAATATCTCGATATTTCGGCATTGTATTTAATAAAGATAATCCATTTCTTGCAATCTTCAGTCATTCGCATTATCAACAAGAATGTTAGTGTAATAACAGATTTCTTTAATGTGTGTATGTTTATTGTAATTCATGTGAGTGCAAAAATAACCTAATTAAAAGCTATTCATTTATGGACTCATACATTGTAACCTTTATAATTCACGAAGAAATATAGTCGACCCCCTATAACACGTTAGATACGTTCCGGTTTTTATAAAATCCATTTTCTACGAGTCCTTAAATACATGAGCCAATCACAGCCCGACACGTATGCAGTTTACGGACTACGGCTGTTTGAAAGGTTTTCTTGCATAAAATTAACCGATTCTAGACTAATTCGACTTAACATTTCCAAAATACATATAATTTTTTGGGAATAATCCATATAAGCTATGCTATAAACAAAAAATTATAGAATTACTAACCGAGTGTGCACCGTTCGACGACTCTGTCGCTTAAGGTTGTTTTCGTCGTGTAGCGGCGCATTGAATGGCGTTCGTGTGCTTCCTGATAAATTATTTTTCTGCGAAGACTTTGCTGAACTTCGGAGACATCATTAATACAAATATAATTTTTAAGGCCGTTAAATAATAAATGGTTTTTAGTAGGTCCGCTGCTCGTTTAAACTCAACGGTTTGTGAATTATACGAGTCTCTTATAGCGTGTTTATACGAATACAGGCGCAATTTTTTCTCCATCATATAAGAATATGAACTATAGGAACCCGTTTTATAGGAGGTCTACTGTAATAATTTTTAATTGGATACCATTTATTAGATTTATCAAAAATGGCGTGTTACGCGATTAGTCGGTAAATTAAACTTCGACTGAACGAAGATTTACTGTATTAAACATGCATGCAAAAGGCGGGTTGACCGAGGCAGAAACGTTAGCCCACCATTTTAGGAAGTTTTCCGGGTTTCCTTCACGTTAGTAACACTTAAATAAAGGCCATTTTCCCATAAAAAAACTTCTCGGGAGGCATTTTTCCTTCGGCAGATCGCCTTTGTGTCGCGTTGCCGTATACGAATAAAACCAAACCTTACTATACCATACTATACTAGACGGCCGGATGGCCGAGCGGTCAAGTGGCAGACTACCGCTCTTAAACGATCGGAATCAAATCCGAACTGAGTCGAAAAGTCCCCAGGAATTTTTCGGGAATGAGCTGTCCATATTTGTCGGGTCCCGTCCCTCACCACCCCGCCCCATTGTGAATCTGGAGTTGCTGAGTGGAGTTGCCATAATGGAGTTGCTGAAAGATGCCCTCTTACTGTCCACAAGGCGGAAAAAGTTAAAAAAAAAAAAAAATACTATACTGTAAACATTGAAACGTCTTTGAAAGTAAATAACTTATTAAAAACGTGAAACAAACAATAATTTTCATTTTTAGATCAAAGTAACTCTTCCATTTTTGAAATTTAACAACTTCAAATTTATTGGACCAACGAAAACCAATTATCGAAACGAATGACTCTTCCTAGCGAATAAAACTCTTCATTACAAATACATTAAAAAAAAAAAAAATTAAAATAATAATATCACGTATTCCTAACGGATTTTTATATTTAAATTATTATCATAAATTAAAAATAAAATAATAAAATTCATTTAGAATAATTTTATATACGAATTTTTTTTCTTTTTCTTATTATTTTTTTGATAGACGTCACCGGTGATTGCGTTCGATAATGGATGCTGCTGCAAGTGTTAAATGATGGAGGAAAGTAGCGATCGGTTTAAATATTGAACTAAGTGAAATTGTATCGCTTTTTATCAATATGCGCGCCATAAACATATATTAAAATGATTTTGTAGCTTATAAGAAGAATTTATTCGATATAATTTATAGTATTTTCACCGAAATAAGCGAAATTTAGTCAAGTAAACAGGTAAACGCCCCAACTTTCAAATTTTTCTTATTTACAATTTATATTTTCGTGTGTAAATCTTAACCTATAAATATAACATGAAAAGTTTTTATATATATATAAACGTTACACAATTAATTTACATGTCAAGTAACCTGTAACCTGTTTTCATAACAGTTAATTAACAGTTAAATCAAATAAACACAGCTTATCAGTTTATTATTATTATTACTATAATACAGGGCACAGTTTTTGTATAATACATTAAAATAATTATATGAAGATGATGTTTGGTAATGTTTTTACTGAAAATAAAACACCTATTCGTTTAAATTTTTATATAAAACATTATATTGTATATAAAACAGATACATATCAGTTTTTAAAAGAGGTGGTGGTGGTGGTTGGGGCCTTTGCTGGCTTGTCGGGGGAATGCGGATAGAGCGGGCCCTCTTCCTGCTTTTATTTATTTGTTTAATTTTTGAACGAGTAATATTAATAAAATCTAGTGTCGAGATTTTATTTTTTAGTAAAAATAGCGTTAATTTGTGGGTCGTTGAGCGTAAGTAGGACTGCTGCTGATGTACGACCGTCTCGGTGGACTTTGCTTGTGACCGATGCGGATGTTTCTTTCGATAGAGCGTGCCTAATGCGTCGTGCTTTGGCTCTTCCTCCGTCTTTGCGTGATCCTTTTTATTAATTTGTAGATGTAGTAATCGGAGTCTGTAATTCTCTAAAACTGGGATCGGATAAGCACGCTCGACCAAACCAATATCGGCAGCTGTGTAATTAATAAATAAAGAAATATTTACTTACATTCAAACACTGTAAGACTGGAATATATTATATTATAAAAAACATCACACCTCTGAACCTTAAAAGTTTAATGCAGATAAAACACAAACACTAGAAGCATTGTTTGGGACACTTATCCTCATTCTCATAATTGCAATTAGTAGTTAATCTTCAAACCACTGAAGTGAATTAATGATTTAATTAAGGAACTTTAATGATTTAAAGATTAATAAATCAGACTTTTACTGCTTTCAGGAATATAACAACCACAAATGGAATTTTAGTCTAAGTGTTATTGGCCTGATAAGCTCATCATCAGAGGCTCCAGTATATTCCATAAATCTTTTTGTAGTTAAACATCCAAAAGCAGTAAAAGTCTGATTTGTTAATTTATTATTTCCATCCAAAAAATTTTTTTTGATTCAGTAATTATATTTTTAATAAAACAAATATTTTAAGCTGCTTTTGTCACTCGTCATCTGTTTTTAAATATAGAACATTACCATCTAGAGTGCTTTATGAATTGATTTAAAATTTAAATGTAAAATTTAAAAATTTGATTAATTAATACTTAATCCTTAAATATTAAATCAAATGATTTTATATTTAAATATTAAATTGAATTGATTTACAAGGCATTTTAGATGGGAATGTTCTATTTTGTTGATGATCTGTACTTAAACCTGAAGAAGGCTGATAAAAGCAATTCAAAACATTTTTATTAAAAATATAAATGCTGGATCAAAAATGGTTATTGGATAGCAACATCAAACAAATTTAGTTGTGATTGGTTAATTTACAAAAGAATGGCTTGTTGTTGTTGCAATGGCTGCGTTCAGCAGACTCAACAGTTCTGGAGCTGTAGAATATTTTTCTGTTGAACACCCTCTATAATGGTGCTCTTTTGGAACATGTTTGGTGTTTTGACGTCACATTTAGTAGTGTCTTTCATTTACACTACCTATCTCTACCCAAAACTGACCAGTGAGGCTTTTTGTTCCAACACATGTGTCACTCATCATTTAGCAAATCCAGGTTGCTACGTAACATTTACCAATTTGCTCAGTTACAACTGTTGAGTCTGCTGAATACAGCCAGTGATTCTTAATTTCTAGAAAAAGTTATTTTAATTAATGAATCAAAATTTGCTATGTTATATTAAAGAAGTAAATTTATTAATATAGCTTTATGACCATACTTATAGTTTTAATGAAGAGTTTATTATTAAATGAATTAACTTGTTAATAAATTTTGTTTCATGGTATAGTAATAATTTAATGAAGCTCTCTGATTCATTATGAGATTTCTGATTTGCTCCTAATCTATGGTACAGTACATCAAAATATTACATAAATATCGAAATTATTAACATAAATGTAGTTTTTCAAGAGTAAAGTATAATATTGTATCACATATGAAAACTTCATTTTCTCCATTTGTTAAATATATTTTGTAATATTCATTCTATAATATTTATTTTAAAATTTTTTACATAAATATTCTTTAAATAAATTCAAAGATACATGAATTATATATTTATTTTATAATATATAGTGTGCTGTCTTCACAAATAATTTGGTATATGTATTACAAAAATACAAATGTATTTTATATAATGAAGAAAATACAGTATCTTGTAATTGTATCAAAACATTTAATTAGCCAGCTATTTTTAAATTTTTAACTACCCTTTTAGCTTATCCTACTTTATATATTTAATTTGAATTTTGTTTCCTGTTTAGTGAACTTTATTTATTTATTTTTATTTTTTCTGTATAACATCAAAAGCTAATAGTGATGTGATTAAAATATTCTTTGTTTTAATGTTTTTCTGCTTGTGTTAAATGATTAATTTTATAATTATTGTTTAAAATTGTAATAATTAATTAGAAAGATAATTACTTTTAATTTTCAAATTAATTTTATATTTAAAATATTACATAAGCAATCCTATTTCTTTGAGTTTTTATTAGATGATGTATTATTTTAAATTTTTATAATAATAATTGAAGATTAATATATAAAAGATATTTAAAAATACAGTAATTTTTCCTCATCTCAAAAATTTTTAAAAATTGCCAACCATTTTGCTTTACTTTAAATAATTTATTGCCACCAGTTTTACTTACTTATTAATGCTGATAACCTTATCTGGAATGCAAAAGTAACATGTTAAGCTGTCACTTAAAAATAAGAATCGTTATTGAATAAATTTTTAATGAATAATTTCAAATAACAACATATTTGACGTTTTATCGTGTCAAAATTTTTACGCTTTAGTCTACTGAAAAAAGATCAAAGTGGAAAAAATTTCATTTCAAATTTTCTATTGGTCAATAATAAATTTCCAATCTGGAAATGCCAAGTGGCATTGCACGAAAACTTCCTTTGGTTTTCAATGTCATTTTCTGCTTTCCTGTCCGAATTTGCTGTGGGACGGCTTGACATCCTAGGAGTATGGTGCATAGGTCTCCTGCTGCACAGGAGCTCAATGTTGCTGTTTTCCCGAGGCATGCTTTGTGATTCAATTTCATGCCGAATGTCGAAATAAGTGGACTAGGGTCTCTATTGTCAGTATTATATTTTTATTGTCACTTTAATAAAAGATATCACCAGGTGGTAATTTTGGTACTATGCAGTGCAACCCCCAAATTTATGACCATATAAACTAGTGATGAACAACCTGCAGTCTAAGAGATCCTAATATGTGACCCCTGAGGCAACATAATTTTGTTTTCATGTATTCTGTCTCATTATGCAATACTAATTAAGCTGATATTCAAGGCAAAGAACATTCAAATTAAATTTGAATACAGAAATACTGTATGAGAATAAACTGCATGTTACTAGTTTGTATATCATAAAACCTTCAACTCTAAGAAAAAAATGCTGTGGCATGTTGGAAGACTATGAAGTTCACTTGCAGCCTGCAAGAGAACATTTTTAAAACAAATCAGAGACGAGAGCAGCAGAAAAGATTAAAACTCACTGGTTTAGAGAAAAGAAATTTATCTTTATTTTTAGTTTGTTTTCAGAATCAGATTTCTAAAATATTTAGTACAACAATCAACATATTTTTATAGTTTTCTTTCATTGTAATCTGTTTACTTGATACTATTATCTAGTATCAATACCAATGTTTGTTTTTGTAAGTTGTTCACAAAGCTTAGCATATCACGTTGATAAATAAAATGAATAACTGTATAGTTCAGGTATTTATGAGTTTATCATTATTACAATGATGTTGAATATATTTGAGATTAAATCACATTTGAATATTCAACATAGTAAATTAATTCTAATTCCTTAATTGAGTTTAAATTAAGGACAGTCAGATGTTTAGCTGAAAATATTGGCTACAAAAACTAAATAGTTATTTTGTTTGGAAATTCCAATTGATGAGGTTTTTATTTATTTATTTTATTTTCTTATTCATTATTTAATACTGTAAAATTACTTCTGATTATTATTATTTGTGTGTACATAAACTTATACATAAATTGTGAAAATTTAAAATTTATTTTGGGAACAGTATGTAAGTCATTTGCTTCAGATGTTTTTCCATTATCAATTAGTTTCCTTAAACAGTTATTTCTTTTTTGCTTCATATGCATGATAAAGTGCAGTTTATTGAACACTAGGCATCCTTTCATCCTTTTATTAGTCTTTTTAGTTGATATGCATTTTACCTCTTTTGGGTTTCACAATGACCATCTTCAGTCGACTAATTTAAAATGTACATAATTATAACATAACACCAAATCTTTTGAATAATACATATATTTTACATTAGTTGATTTTAGTTGATGCAAAAAAACACTCCTGGAAAATGTGTGGATGGGTACAAATTTTCTTTTCTATTCCTTTCTGTTGTGAGACAATTTAAGCAAATATTTTAACATAGTCCCAAAGTGGGTGTATGCATAAGTGCAGATCCTTAACATTCCATTTCATTCTGCTGTTGTACACTTCAAAGACAAAAGTTTGTAGATTAAAAACTTTTCTTAAAATGACAACAACACACTTTGGTTTAGACAATTTAGTAAGTGTGCTGTAGAAAAGACAATCTCTTCTCATGCACACACTTTTACAGCATTTTTCCTCTAATTCATGCAGTCTCGTATCAATTTACATAATTTTATTAGCATGGAGAGTCAAACTCTAGCTAGATTTTTCAAACCTATCCCACTAAAAATTTTTTGATTAATTAAAGATACCATTTTATA